TTCTCTCTACTCACAAAACAGTTCTAGTTCAGACTCTTATCACTTCTTTTTTTTTTTGCTGCTTGGCAGTGGGGTTAAGTGACTTGCCCAGGGTCACACAGCTAGTAAGTGTTATGTGTCTGAGGCTGGATTTGAAGTCAGGTACTCCTGAATTCAGGGCCGGTGCTCTATCCACTGCACCACCTAGCTGCCCCCCAGACTCTTATCACTTCTTGTCTAGACTGTCACAGTAACTCATTGATTGGTTTCTATCTCTCAAGTCTCTCTTCCTTCCGGTTCATCCTCCACACAGTGATTTTCCTAACGTACAAGTCTTGTAGCTTCCCTCCTCAATAAACTCCAGTGCTGTGAGGGAAAATGCTGTATTTGCTTTTCCTTAGCATGCCCAGCACGTAGCAATCTCTGGTACAAAGTAATCACTTAATAAATGGTTTTTGGTTAAGTAATTCCCTCACTCTTTATATTTTCTTAATTGTCAGGTCTTTCTGACTACCTACATGACATTGCTTATATATACTTCTGTTTCTCTACTTAAACACAAGCACTGCTCTTCATTATGCTCTTATCCTGGACTAACAGTCTCTTTTTTAAATCATTAATTAATTTTTTTCCCTAACATTCACTTACATAAGATTTTGAATTTTAAATATTCTGTCCCTCTTTCTTCTCCCCCCTTCCCAAGATGGCATGCAGTATGATATAGGCTCTACTTATACATTCATATTAAACATTTTCACATTAGTCATAATGCGAAGAAGAATTAGAACTAATGGGATTAAAAAAAAAAAGAACTAATGGGATGAACCACCAGAAAGAAGAAACAAAACAAAACAACAAAAGAAAAGGAGAGCAAATAGTAGTCTTCCATCTGCATTCAGATTCCACAGTTCTTTCTCTGGATGTGGATAGTAGTTTCCATCAAGAGTCTTTTGGAGTTGTCTAAGATCCTTGCATTGCTGAGAAGAACTAAATCTATCAAAGTTAGTCAACACACAGTGTGGCTGTTACTGTGTGTGGTGTTCTCCTGGTTCTGCTCATTTCACTCAGCATGAGTTCCTGCAAATCTTTCCAGGTTTTTAAACAACATATCCAGGATTATGGCTCTTAATTCACTCTGCTGTCTGCTTCAGTTTTATGGGAGAGTTCATCCCTTTTACATTCAAAGTTATGATTACTATTTGTATCTTTCTCTCCATCCTATTCTCTCCTTCCTCCTTCCCCCTTTATACTTTTCTCCTTTCTCCCTGTCTCTCCTCACTACAGTTTTGCTTTAGACCACTGGCTCCCCCAATCTGCCCTCCCTTTTATCAGCCTCTCCCTTTTTTTCCCCTTTACCCTTCCTACTTCTTCCCTCCCTTCTATCCAACCCTTCCCTTTTCTTTTTCCTTTCCCCTCCTACTTCCTATAGGGTAAGTTAGATTTCTATACCTAACTGATTATGTTATTCCCTCTTTGAGCCAAATCTGATGAGAGTAAGTTTCAAACAATGCTCATCTCCCTCTCTTCTTTCCCTCTACTGTAATATGTCTTTGTGCCTCTTCTGGTGATATAATATACCCATCTGCCTCTTCCTTTCATTTTTTCCCAGAACCATTCCTTTTTACCACGTAATTAGATTTTTTATCCCCATATCAAAGTCAACTTATACCCACACCTTCTGTCTATGTATACCCCTTTTAAATGTAGTAACAATACAGTTCTCAATAGTTACAAGTGTCATCTTCCTTTGTAGGAACGTGAACAGTTTGTCTTTATTAATAGCATGTTTTTTTTTCTCTTTTCTGTTTACTTTTTTATGCGTTTCTTGAATCTTGTATTTGAAGACCAAATTTTTTGTTGAGCTTTGATCTTTTCATCAGGAAGGTTTGGAAATCCCCTATTTCATGAATGTCCATCTCCTCCTCTGAAAGATTATGCTCGGTTTTGCTGGGTAGTTTGATCCTTTGTTGTAATCCAAGCTCCTTTGTCTTAGGAATATTGTATTCCATGCCCTGTTATCTTTTAATGTGGAAGCTGGAAAGTCCTGCTTAATCCTGACTGTGGTTGCATGATATTTGAAGTGTTTCTTTCTGGCTGCTTACAGTATTTTCTCATTGATCTGGTAATTTTGGAATTTGGCTGCAATATTCCTTGGCGTTTTCAATTGGGGATCTCTTTCTGGAGGTGGAGGTGATCGGTGGATTCTTTCCATGACTGTTTTACCTTCTAGTTCTAGGACCTCAGGGCAGTTTTCCTTTATGATTCCTTGAAAGATACTGTTCAGGCTCTTTTTTTCATCGTGGTTTTCAGTTAGACCAATAATTTTTAAATTGTCTCTCCTGGATCTATTTTCCAGGTCAGTTGTGTTACCAATTTTACGTTTTCTTCTATTTTTTCATTCTTTTGTTTGTGTTTGACTGATTCTTGATATCTCATAGTGTTATTAGCTTCCACTTGCCCAATTCTGATTTTTAACAAATTGTTTTCTTCTACTAGATTTTGTACCTCTTTTCCATTTGGCCCATTTTACTTTTTAAGGAGTTTTTCTCTTCAGTGAGTTTTTGTACCTTTTTCCGTTTGGCTAATTCTGCTTTTTAAGGAGTTGATTTCTTCAGTGTACTTTTCCCCATTTGGCCAATTGTATTTTTTAAGGACTTGTTTTCTACAGTCAGTTTCTGTTCTTTTTTTTCTAAGATATTGACTCTCTCTTGCATATCTCATTTCCTTTCCCAGTTTTTCTTCTACCTCTCTTATTTCACTTTTAAAATCTTTCTTGAGCTCTTCCAAGAACAATCCCAACTTCTAGTCGTGTACAAATAAATAATCCTTAATTAAAATGGATACTTCTTTCAAGGCATTTACAATATGTCACAAGCTATTCTTCTTTTAACATTAATTAATTGTATCCAACTGAGACAATTTACAACTTTAACATTAACTAAATATTAACTAAGTAACAGAACAATATCCTAGTTCTATAATCTCCTGGCCTAATTATCCTCATACCACTATGAGAAATTAAAGGATCCTGACTTATACAGGAATATACTAGTAACATGTCAAGACTGAATACTTAATTCTGAAGTTCTAGGTCAAATAACTCAATCTTATACTTGCATCTTACTATAATAACCTTAGATGTTCCAGCATCAATCTATTTTTTTAATAGATTCGATATTTATGCTTACAAAACTTATAGGAATTTGCCATGAAATAACAGGGACGTAACTAAAGGGAACAATGCTTCTCTAGATTCATGTTAATTCCAGGCAGAAGTTATATGTATAATGACCAACTGCATTGAGCCAGGCTTAAAGTCTGCCATGTGTCATAGTGGGGAAATTGAGTCAAGAGAATCCTACCTCAGCCATGCAGAAAAGTCGTTCTCCTGATCTTCCCATGAGAACACCCTCTTGAAGCTCATAGGTGCAGCTCACAAACCTCTGTGCAGATTGCTGACGTCATGGGTCAGTAGCTCAATCAGTCCTGGTTAACCATACCTGGAGTTAGACTCAGAGCAACAGTTCATTAACAGTCTCCAAGATTTTGGATAGCAAATTCTCCTCATCAGGGTTTCAGATGTGACTGTAGTTTCACATTAATTAGGGAACATATCCGAAGTGAGCTCTAAGTAGTTTGCATAACTTCCTACACATATTCTAGTTCCTGATAACATCCTGAGTAAAATCAAACTTCCATTAAGATCACAAGTTACTACTCTAAATAGATTTGCCTTTCTGTTTCTCAAGCTTATTTATCCTTCTCTAACCATTCTTAATCTGAAAGAATGAGACACTTTGTGAGCATTTCCTTATACAAAGAAGAGTCGATAAAGAGGATTGCACATGATGCCAAGAATCTATACCATATATGCTCCCCCCTTTTCTCTTTTATCAATACAATATAATTTACATGTACATATGTATTTGTGTGCATATATAGTAAATTCAGTATGTTGGTTCCAGAGTTTGTGTTTCCTTATGAACTGCCTTCTGTTCTCTTCTGTGCCTTTTTTTATTGTTCTACTGATGCTTTTATTCTTTTTTTTTCATTAGTATTACTATACCCCTTCCCATTCTCATTTCTTCTCTTCCAGTCCCCTCAAAAGTCACTTTTTTGTAATCAGTAAATTTTAAGTAAAAATCCTTACATTGGCCATGCCTGAAAAAAAATGTCTCATTCTGCATGTTTTGACCATCACCTCCCTTTCAAGAAATGTGAAACATTTTCTATCTATGGTTATCTGGAGTTTTGATTAGTCATTTGCATTGATCAGTATTCTTATGCCTTTTTTTCTTTATATATTGTAGTCACTGTATACATAGTTTTCTAGTTCTGCTCACTTCATTGTATCTGTTCATAGCAGTCATTCTAGATTTCATTGAGTCTGTTCCTTTTGTAATTTCTAAAAGTGCAGTAGTATTCTTTTACATTCATATAGCTGAACCCGTAGTGCAGCTATTCCTAAATTGATGGACATCTCCTTTAGTTCCTAGTTATTTGCTACAACAGAAAGTGCTGAAATTATGAATATTTTTGTGCAGCTGAATACTTTCCATCTTTCTTTGATCTCTTTGGGAGTTTATACCTAGTAGTGATATTTCTAGTTCAAATGATTTGTATAGTTTAGTGATTTTTGGTATAGTTCCAGATCGTTTTCCAGAATTCATGCTTCTCTAGTAATACATTAACTTGCCTATTTTCTCAAATCTTTCCAAAAATTATTATTTTCCTTTTTTTGAATCATTGCCAGTCTGCTAGTTAGGTAGAAGCTCAGTATTGTCATAATTTGCATTTCTCTGTTAATGATTTGGAGCAATTTTATGGTAATTTCCAATCTACTTTTTCAGAATTGTTTCATATTACTCCTGTTCATGTACTCTTTTATTTATCCCAGTGGTGGCATGGTAATAATACTAAGAATACTATGGTCTTGTTTTTTATTTCAATTACTTTTAAATTATTTTCTATTTAAGTAAATGGTCATATCTTTTATTTACTTCATTTTTATTCTGTCTTAGACTTGGGAAACCCGATATGTGCTTTTGCTGTGGCTTTCTGTAACCTGCCTGATTCCTTTTGATCTTTCACGCCTTGATGGAAATCTCACCTCTGAAGGTGGGGAGGCTCGTACATCTACAATGGACCGCATACTTCAAATAGCAGAAGTAAATATTTTATCTTTAATAATTGTTGGTTCCTTTTTTTGATCTAAAATGTATACTATGTTCTTTTAACCTACAATGTATAATTTCTTTATCTCCATACTTAAGCTATTTTTGTTCTCAGTACAGGGAAAACTTAATTGAGAGCGATTTTATTTGTACAATTCTTGGAGTAGCTACAAAAATACCTTTGTATTAATCTTTAAAGGCTCAGGATCTGAGCAATTAGCCAAGTAAATTAGTAGTGATAACTATTTCAGAGGGAATGTTTAAACTATTTAGATGGGTAATATGACATTGTGGTTAGAGGGCTGGCCTTAGGGTCAAGAAGACCTGAATTTAAATTTAGCCATACAACTCTAAACTAGTCATTTAACCTCTTAGTTGCCCCAGGCAACTCTATAGAGAGAGTGCTGCCTCATCTCTATGAGTTACAGACAATTTGCATTTATAAAAGGAGTTTGGAACTGTACTTCCGAATGTTCAGATCATTCTTAACAAAGGATCCTACTTAAGGAAATCATTTGAAAAATTTTTTTAAATTTTATTGACAGATTTGGTTTTAACACAATACATACTTACTAATAAACACCTAAACAACACTTTCCTATAAGTAAAAGTGAAAAGCATTTTTTGATGGGTAACAAGAGAAAAGAGATGTATATCCTTTAACTTTGACAACATGGTAACTAATGCGAACCTTTGATTAGAGTTTTGTTGTTTCTTAAATTTTTTCCCTCAGTTTTGTTTATTTGCTTGGTTATTATGTGTACATTGCTCTTTGTAGATCTGCTTTCTTCAGTTTCTATGAATTGATAAAAATTTTTTCCATGGCTTTATATGTTATTCCTTAATTGTGCAGTAATATTTAATTACATTCATACATGATGGTTTCTTCTGTCATTTCCCAAACATTAGAATGTTTTCTATTTTTGTTATTAAAAAATAATACTGTGCTCAATATTTCTGCATAAGAATTTTTTCTTGTTGCCAACGCCCTCCTTGGATCCATTAGTGAAGTCTCCAGGTCAAAGGCTACGAGTGTTTTAGTAACATTTTATTAACTTTTGCTGTATAATTTCATATGCTCTTCAGAATGATTAAAGGAATTCAAAGCTTTACTATCCAGTGAATGTTTTCTTGTCCTCCTATAGCCCTACCAAAAATGTGATTATAGCTTTTCATGAAAGACCCCTTAAGTACTTTAAAGTATAACTTACATATAAATAATTGACACAGATTGATAGAAGTAAACTGCTGTAACAGTAAAAAAATTGAAAACAGTTGCTAAAGGTATTAAAGTGAATAAGGTGAAGAGACTGACTAATGATATGGAATCAGTAATGGTGAAGTAGATGGGACTTAAACTTAGGAAGATCTGAGTTGGAATCCTGCATTAGCTACTTCTTAGTTGTGTGATGCTGTATAAGTCATTTAACCTTTTTCAGTCTCAGTTTCTAACTCTGTAATATGGAGAAATAGAACCTACCTTACCGAGTTACAAAGATCAAATGAGATTAAATATTCTATGTAAATTGTAGCTATTTTTAGCTGTTATGTTATATAGCTATATACCTATGCCTGTATTTGCCTATTTCTTAGTGATTAAAAGTAGAGGCCTGTGGTGACAGGGTGGTAACTAGACTCAGTCTTGCTGTAGCATTTGTTACAAACCAGAAGTTTGTTCATCTTTTGGAATTTGGAAGTCTACTTTTAGCCCTCAGTTCTTTGGAAGGACTGGTAAGTATACTTTGACTCAAAGGTTTAAAGTCAAGTTGTGTTTTATTGTTTTCCATTTATTATAAGTATTGTGTGGCTTTTTCCATCTTTTGCCCAGATGATTATCGACAAAAGATTTCTTTCGTTTTCTAGTCCTACTTGGTTGTCAGTGATAAGGCTCGAGATGCGGCTGCTGTCCTTATTTCCAAGTAAGTCAGCCTCACTGTTGCCTGTATCCTCAGTTAGTTGATATATATACAGTATATGTCAAGAACCTGTAATTTTTTTTTCTCTGTAGGAGCTTCCTCTGTCAGAACTGATTGTATCCCATCTAGTCCTAGACAGTCCTCTGAGACCTAGAGAAATTAAATGATTTACTGGTGGACGAATGTCAGAGGAAGGATTTGAACCTAGATTCAGTATTCTATCTGCTATTCCATGCTACTTCATATATGTACTATGTCAAACAGTAAAGCCTCACTAATTTAAACCAGGTACCAGTGAGCCCCGAAGAACTCCTCTTTAGAGTAGTTTATTCATCAGAGGATTTGTTGTTTTTGGCATAGTGCTCTTAGTTGAAACTGCCAAATCAAATAAATATCTGACTTGGTCATCAGCATTCTTCAAAACGATGGGGTATTATGTGGCTATACTCCATAAAGCTCAACAGTACTATGTCTGAACTGGGCTGTGTCAGCTTTATGAATAAATTTACCTTTTCTTTATTTGGGAATGCATTTTACAAAAAACAAAACCTCAAATGACAGCTTCAGTGTAGAAAATGAGCCAGGGAGTGGGATACATAATGAAATACAGTAGTGCCACCTAGTGGGGAAAAACATGTAGCTATATACACTACTTTAAAAAAATTTACAGCTAGACTTTCTTGTTGGTGAAAAGCTATTTCTGTAGTTTTTCATTCACGTGATGACACAAAAAAAGAAAATTCCCCCTGTGATTCTGTGTGCAACTAATTTGTGTCTATTTGTTTAAAGTTATAAAAAATTATTCTAAGCTTAATAATTGTGAATAAAAACTAAAATTTACATGCATAGAAAAATCAACATGAAGAGGTAAATGTTATTTATAGTTTGTTAAAAGTTCATATTAAACTTGATATGGTAAAAGAAATGTTCTTTTTGCTCTTATGCCCCTTTCTCAACTTTTTTTTCCTCCTTTTTGTTGCTGTTATTCATTATTTTTATGTAGTTGTTGACAGGGTATGTATATATTGCTAATTCACATTTTTTTGGTTTCTTTTATTTCATTTTTAAGACTTATTTTTTCCATTACATATAAAAACAATTTTTAACATTTAATTTTTAAAATTTTGAGTTTGAATATTCTTTTTATTTTTTAAAATTACATGTAAAATAATCTTTAACTTTCGTTTTAAAAAATTTAATTCAAATTTTTCTTGATCTGTAAATTGTATTAGTATCAACCTGTTTCATAAATTATAGGATCACAGGATTTTAGAATTGGTATGGGTTTTTTAAAAAAATCATCTAATCCAGGGCTCAACTTGCTGGTTACCCAGGTTATGTAGGAGAGTAGAAATTTAATTTTCTAACCTAGTATTTTTGTCATAATCTCCTGGAATTATAGAATTGAATATAATATACCTAGTGACTGTTTCATTTTTGGCTTTTTACTCCTAGTACCTAGTACCATGTCTGGTACAGAGCAGGCAATTAATAGATGTTTGTTGATTGATTAATCCTTTCATTTTTGTGCTTTACTATCAAAGCTACCTTGAAAAGAAGAAGGCCAAATCAGAGGATAGTACTATTTACTTTAGTTCACTTTGGGAACTTCTTGAACTTCTTAGCTGCCAACATACCTATCTTGGCTTTGATTGTGCTTTTGAACTAGAGTCAAATTTGAAGGATAGGAAAGGCAGTTAGCCCAGTCGTCACAACTTATGCTGGTTCCATATATGACGTACCCTGGTTGGATATCCTTAGCTCTTGATTTGGAGCCTATCCAGAGAAAGACCCTTTGAAAAAACTCTTATGTTAGTCTAATTTGATTAAAGATTGATAATTAGTGCTCTACAGCCTGGGCATGATTAGCTTTTTTCCCTTGTTACTCCCTTTCATTTTTTTCTTGAACTCTGAAAGATACTGGCTCCTAGCTTTTAAAGCAAGTTTGTTAAGTCCTAAGTTAGCCCAACCCTTTTATGTTACATTTGACAAATTCAGTAAACTTTTATGAATTATTTCCTATGTACTATTGTCCAACTGTACTAGTCTTCTGGGTATGGAGGATATGAAGACAGAAGCAAAACAGTACTAGATTCCAATGAGCTTACATTTTATGGTGGAGTTATATACAACATGAAAAAACTGAAGCCTGTTAAAGTCCCTGAAATTACACAATTCATGTCCCTGGAATTACACAATTAATTTTATACAAAGCCAGTTCCAGAACTCTGTCCAGATCTCTGATTTGATGCTTTTTTCACTGTTCCAGACTTCCTTGTTCTCTGGAGTCTTATTTGAGTTCCCAAATGATCATTATTGGCCCCAAAGGACCTGTATCCCAGCTCTGCTACATACTAACTGCATAGTATTGATCAAGTCATTTAACCTTTTTGGGTCTTAGTTTCCTCATCTGTAAAGTAAAATAATTTTACTAGATAATGTTTCAAGTCCCTTCTAGAGCTAAATCTGTAGTCCTTAGAGTCATTTCTTTTTAATCTCTAGTATAAGGATTTAAAAAATTTCTTCCTGGCACTAGTAGGTATTGAACCCTGTATCAACTATATTCAGTATTTGGTGTCTTGTGATATTATATTGTTTCCAGGATCCTTTTGTTTTCTTAACATAAAAAAAAGGATATAGTGTTACAGATTAATTTTACTAATTCACAGTGATATTATTCCATTGCTTAAGAACTATAAATTGAAATTTAATACTGATGTGATAAACTGATCACACCCTTGTGTTATGATGAGGTGGAAAAGGAACTGTGTATAGATTCCAGAAGATAAGGGTTTGAATTCCAGCTTTGCTATTTATAGTATGACATTGGGCAAATCACTTAATATTGCCAGGCCTCAGTTTCCTCATCTGTAAAATGGGACTTGAAGATCCCTTTTAGCTCTAAACCAATGATGTTTGGATATAAGTATGTATACTGACCTATTAGAACAAAGAACAAAGATAAAGTCCGTCAATCTATCAATGAATGTGTATTAAGCTCTTAATTATGTGCTTTGCTAAGTGCTGGAGATAAAAATAGAAAGAAACAGTTTCTTCTCTCAAGGAGCTTACATTTTATCAGGGGAGAAATTGTATGAGTATATATAAATGTATGTGTGTGTGTGTGAATTTATATATATATGTGTGTATATATATATGTGTGTGTATATATATATATATATATATATATATATATATGCAAACTATGTACAAAATAAATATATGAAAAACAAGATAAGTTTTTGTTTTTGATGAGGGAAAGGTACTAACATCTGGGCTATCATAAAAGGCTTCATGTAGAGAAAGTAAAAATATTTTAATATTGGGTGTGTTGATTTCTTGCTGTGGAGTCACAATGATTATATTTCAATTGTGTAGTTGACCAGACCTTTCAGGTACATGCTTTGTATCCTTGCATTTTCTAAGAATGTGGTATGATGCATACCGAAAGTGACTTATTTTTTAATTCTGAGAGGTCCATTATAGCAGTTCACAGTTTATATTTGGATCTTGGATTAAAAAAAAAGATGATATATATATACGTATATATATATGTATATATATACGTATATATATATATACACGTATATATACGTATATATATATGTATATATACGTATATATATATATATATATATATTCCTGTGAACTTTAAGCAAATGGATGTGAAGACTAAGGAAAATATATATAAATCACAGTTTAAAGCTGATAGAGACCTCAAAGGTCATCTGGTCCAACTCTCTCATTTTACAAATAATGAAAATATGTCTCAAAGAATATTTGCCCCAAGTTAAAGTCAGAATTTGAACTTAGGTATACTGACTCCAGATCTCATACTGTTTTTCTATTACACCATATGATCTCATAAGAAAAATAATACTTACTAGATTTCTTTAATTCCAGAAATTGAAGTCTGCTTTGACTTGGTGCCTCTTACAGTATGAAATTTGGGATCAAAACCTTTCTTAGGAATTTTGGTGCCTGTGTGTTTGCCTGAGTTAATTTAATCAAGTGTCATGGACTGAGGGCTAGAAGGAACTTTAAAGGCATCTAGTCTAGCCTTGTCATTTTATAAATGAGGAAACTAAGGGCTAGGAGATCAAGAATCTTCTTCCAGGTAGTAAAGCTGGGATTTGAACCCAGGTCTTCTGTCTCCAAACTGAGATCTGTATCAAAAACATTTTCAAAACTTTTTGCAAGATTTGCCTTTAGGGGTTGTAGGTAGTTTAGATATTAGTTAGAAAAAAGTAGAAAACTGATTCTTCTAGTGACTGATAACTTGAAATGCTGTATTCCTTTACAGGTTTATTACCCGTCCGGATGTCAAACAGAAAAAGATGGCAGACTTCTTGGATTGGACCCTTTCTACATTGTCAAAGTCTTCCTTCCAGACTATGGAGGGGACTATTATGATGGATGGCATGTTGCAAGCTCTGGTAATTATCTTTTTCATCCTGTAAAAGTTTTACCAGTTTTCTTTAATTATAAAACTATAGGGTCCCGTATAACAAAGTTATATTGGCCTCATTTATTTATGTTGTTTGAGCTGTAAGATATTCAAGTTATATGGACAATCTGGCTAGATATGCCATATATTAATCACTATTTTAAAAATAATTGATTAAAAAAAGATTTAATATTAAAATTCTATCAGTTGTGATTTTAGTTTGTCTTTGATTCAAATTATATTTTAGGTACTTACAATGCTGAGTTGTTATTCTGGTTAACAGTTAATATTGTCCAACTGTAGAAAATGTAGGAGATTGAGAGTATACTGAATCTGAACTGACCCTGTCATATAACCAAGATGTCAGCTTCTTGTTTTTCTTTAAATTTTAATTACTTCAGTTTCCTGATTGTTTTTGATTCTAGATAAAAAGGAATTAGCTATATTAATCCAGAGATCCAGTGCATGCCTCATTGTAAAAATGCTTTGTTAATTTAATTAAAACAAATTCTTTACAGTTCTTTGAGATAATGATTATAATAGTCACTCTGCTCAAGGAAAACATCTTATGTTCTCTTCACATTGGAGGAGGGGAAGAGAAGAACCCTATTGAAGCTTGCTCTTTTCAGCTTTTTGGCTTATCATGAAAGTGATAGTTAATCTTCAGTTTCATGGGATCTTTCATTTCAAATGCATTTATTAAGCATCCATTGTATGCTGTGTACTGTGCTAAGTATGGAGATATAAAGAAAAAAAAGCAATCACTGCTCTCAAGGAGCTTATGCTGTACTAAGGTAAAGCCACATATGCACAGATAAGTAAATGCAAAAGATGTATAAAGTAAATATAATGTAATATGGAGAGAGGAGAATGGTCACAACTGGGAGGTTGAGGGGAGGCATATTGTAGGATTTGGCATTGTAAAAGGAGTCGGGGAATCTAAGAGAAGGAGATGAAGGAGAATATTCCAGGTATGGGAGACAGCGTATCCGAAGGTGGAGAATTGGGAGAATGAGTAGAGAGCTAGAAGGGACCTATGCAGTAAGTTAGACCAATCCTTTCATTTTATTGATGAGGAAATTGAGGTTCAGAGAGGCTAAATGACCTGGCCAAGACCATATAGGAAATAAATAGTAAAACTGGCGTTTCAATCCAGGTCCTCTGATTCCAAATCCAATGCCCTTTTTACTGTCAAATGTCTCCTCAAATAGTAAATAAAATTAGAGTGTTACAAGGATAAGGTGCTGTCTAGAAAATGAGATTAGATACCATGCTGTACCTTACATTTACATTTTTAAAATTAGAAATTACAGGAAATAATTGTTAGGTTGCTGTTTTTCAGTATGTTTATAGCACCTTGGCAAACATACCACACTTAATACCTTTGTGTTAGAGGACAAAATAATTTAACATATTTCATCTTGACAGTTATTTTTTTTGTATGGCATTTTGCTTCATTTTCAAATTAATTTGGCTTAAAACTACCAATCCTGTCCTATCTGTAAGTTACAAATTATCTTTGGTAGCAAAGCAGAATTACTGAATAGTCAAACCTAATAATCAAATCTAATTCTAATATACTTAGAATAATTGAAATTTGTAGCCAAGAAGTAATTTTGTAGGGATAAATAGGAGGAAGCATGTGCCTTGTGGGTCAAACCACTGTTACCACCTTGACTACTACCTCCCTTTGGACCTTAATGGAGACAGCCCAAGAGCCTTGAGAATAACAGTGCTCTCCAAACCATTAGCCCTGGTTCCAGCTTGACTCTTGAAATCATTATTCAGGCTAGCAACCTTTGTAGAAATGTGCTGCCATCCCTTTCACCTCCAATATTAACACAACTGCTATCTGACTGCCACTGAATGGTAGGTATGCCCAAGATCCCTGGGGACAGGAGTCCACTCCAGAACACCAGCTTGCCTTTCAGCCTGACTTCAGCGACTGTAGGGAAGCAACCCTTGTGGAGGTACAGTCTGGCAATAACATCTGCAAATGCCACAGTACCCATATCCTTAGCAGCCAAAGCTAGTGAAGGTGTAGAAAAGAAGTTTCTTATCATTAACGTTTTTGGTGCTGTCAAATCATTCAACATCAAAAGCTGGAATGGTTTTATTAAGGAAATAACAGTGCATCTGCTTTGATGCTTCACCCTAATGACCACTAGGCCTTTCCATCTGACTTGGAGCCGAATCCTCCTTTATGTGTTTTCGAGCTCCTTGAAACCAGAGATTGTTTTACTTTTTAATTTATAGCTCCAGTACTTTACTCATAGTAGGGTCTATAAATGCTTTTTTGTACATCCATCCATCCACTGATTCAGTAACAGAAATTCTTTGAGTAGCAAATTTTCTCTTGTGAACTAGCAAATGATATTTTAAAAGTTTAGTTACATTCATATTTTACAATTTTGAAGCATGTTCTAATAGACAATACCAACTCCAAAAGTCTGTTTTATAATGGCTTCTTATAATGACTTCTTCCCTCAATAGGATACCAATATGACCCTTCAGTAAATTATTTTTACTTGTATAGGCCTTAGTTTCCTCATCTGTTTAAAGGGTAAAACATAACTATAAGATATCTCCACAGGCTACCACTTAGAGGATGTTTAGTGTAACTGTATCTATAAAGACTTGAAATCCTTAAAGATGTTATACACATTAATGTGAAGATAGCATTTTAATTTGAAATTTCATCTTCAACAATGATCATGTCTTAAATTTTCCAATTATTTGAGAAGAATTTTCCTAACAGCTATTAGAAAATAATCAAACTAAGCACCTTTCAGTTTCCAAAAACCAGCCAATCCCTAAAATTATTCTTTTTAGATAGATATGGGCATCATTACTTTGTCTTCTTTTTTGTATCTCTGTCACTATCCATTAACCTGCCAGCCTCAAACAGACATGGTCAAGCAAAACAAAACATTGCCCATTCACTATTTTGGTTAGAGTTCTGAAGGCTTTTTAGGTTATCTTTTACACTGTTTTAGTCATTGCCTAAATTGTTCTCCTGGTTCTGCTCATTTTGCTTTGCATCAGTTCATAAAAAACTTCCTAAGTTTTGCTGAATCTGTCATATTTATTATTTCTTTACTTTAATAATTCCCAATTACGTGGTTACACCATAGTTCGTCCCACTGTTTCCCTCAATTAAATGGATACTTTATTTCCAGTTCTTTTCTATAACAAAAAGTGCTGTTATAGATATTTTTGTACATATTGGTTCTTTCCTTTTATCTTTGGCCTCCTTGGGGTATGTCCCTTATATCTCACAGTCAAAGAATATGTATAATTTAGTGGTTTTTCTTTTTTGCTTATAGTTTGCTTTCCAAAATGGAAAGTCAATAGTGTATTAGGTACCTATTCTTACACCAGAGCCATCAATTGTCCTTTTCCCTTTTTTGTTATCTTTGCCAGTTGGGTGCAGAAAATCAGGTTTGTTTCAGTTTATATTTCTCTTATTATTAGGGGTTTGGAGTCTTTTCACATGGTTGTTGATAGCATGCATTCCTTTTTTTGGGGTGGGGGTTGGGGGGAATGCAACAACTTTATTGAAGAAAAGTACACTGAAATTACACAAAACCTTGAAAGAAACTTGAGGGAATTTAGACACCTCCCCTGAAGTTCAGGAACAAGTACAGGGTGAATTCTTTCTGGACATTGTAGTTAGATAGGGTATGTTCATCTTTCAACTGCTTTCCAGTGAAGACCAACCTCTGCTGGTCTGGGGAATGCATTCTTTGTTCTGAATCTTTGCCTTGACATTCTCAGTGGTGTCACTGGACTCCACTTCAAGGGTGTGTGATAACGAATGCCTGATATGCCGGACCAAGTGCAGAGTAGATTCTTTCTGGATGTTATAGTCACAAAAGGTTCTTAACTGCTTCTCAGCAAAAATCAATCTTTGCTGGTCTGGGGGAATTTCTTCCTTGTCTTAGATTTTGAACTTGACATTCTAAGTGTTATATTGGGCTCCACTTGAGTGATGGTTTTACTTGTCAGTGTCTTCACAAAGATTTGCCTTGTTAAGCAGTGGCAATGGTGATGCACACACTGAACAACAGAGTCAGTTTCTATTTTGGTGGATCTCAATAGCATGCATTTCTTCCTTTTTTAAAAAAAAATTTTATTTTTTTTCCCCCATTACATGTTAAAACAATTTTAAACATTTAAAAAAATTTTTATTTAGTATTTTATTTTTCCCAGTTACGTGTAGAAACAATTTTAACATTCATTTTTAAAACTTAGTTCCCAATTGTCTCCCTTTCTGCTTCCCCCCCATTGAGAAGGCAAACAATTTGATATAGTTTATAAATATGTAGTCATGCAAAAGACTTCCATAATAGTCATGTTGTAAAAGATGAACTATATTTCTCTCTATCCTATCCCACCTCCTATTCTCTCTTTTCTTTTACCCTGTCTCTTCTCAAAAGTGTTTTGCTTCTGACTACCTTTTCTCCCAATCTGCACTCCCCTTCTATCACCTCCCCTTTTCTTGTCACCTTCCTCCCTACTTTCCTGTAGAGTAAAATGGATTTCATATAAAATTGAGTGTATATCTTATTCCCTCTTTGGGTCATTTCTGATGAGAGTAAGGTTCACTCACACCCTCACACCTCCTCCCTCTTCCCTTCTATTATAAGAGCTTTTTCTTGAATCTTTTATCTGATAGTTTACCCCATTCTACCTCTCCCTTTCTCTTTCTCCCAGTACATTCTTCTTTCACTCCTTAATTTTATTTTTTAGATATCATCCTTTCATATTCAACTCACACTTGTGCCCTCTGACTTTATATCCTCCTTCTAACTACTCTAATAATAAGAAAGGTTTTATGAGTTACAAATATCATCTTTCCATGTAGAAATGTAAATAGTTTAACTTTAATGGTCCCTTATGATTTCTCTTTCCTGTTTACCCTTTTATGATTCTCTTGAGTCTTGTATCTGAAAGTCAGATTTTCTGTTTAGCTTTAGTGTGTTCTCA